TGAGAATATATAAAACTACATTCAGTAAGACCTACTAAGTGTCTGGTCCAGGAGGTGCTTGAAGAGTGATGAAATGAAAAAGGAAAAAAAAAAAAAAGAACATGAGGACTCTCTGACCTTGCTTATGTGCCAGTCAATATGGCAGGAAAACTAGGATGCCACTCCCACCTTGATGCCTAGGTAAGCTAAGCTCAGGGCATGACTAAAATTTGGTTGGGGAGGTGTGGAAGGTGGGAGAAATGGTATGAGCATGCAGACAAAAAGAGCTGAGTGAGGGCTCACCGCATAACTGTTCCCTGACAAGGAGGGCTAGGGTAGGACTGGGAGGGAGGAGGTCAGCCTGTCAAGAGCAAGACATTTTGATAGGGTAGGGCCTAATTTGGAAGAGCTTGGGTGGTAGAGTTGGTGATTTTAGCTGACTTACCAGGGGATTATGAGTTCTGGAGCAGGGATGTGGCATAGAGTTTATTTTGTTATTCCTGTTTCTAGTGATGCTGGCTAATGGAAAGGTAGCAGTCATTTATTCTTGTGAACACATTTTGTACTTTGGGGTCTATCTCCTGATATTCCTATCAGAGTTTGGGTACATCACTGCTTTCTGTGGTGAGTAGCAGCAGGAGGAATTTTTTTTTAAAAGATTTTATTTATTTGAGAGAGAGACAGAGAGAGGAGAGAAGAGAGAGAGAGAGAGTGTGTGTGTGCACAAGCTGGGGGGAGGGGCAGAGGGCGAGGGAGAAGCAGACTCTCCACTGAGCAGGAAGCCTGGTGCAGGGCTCGATGCCAGGACCCTGGGATCATGACCTGAGCTGAAGGCAGGTGCTTAACCAACCGAGCCACCCAGGGGCCCCCAGCAGGAGGAATCTTAAGGTCTTTGATAAATTCAAACAACTTTTGATTATTAGTAAATTTGGGGGAAAAAAACCCACATGATTTCATCCCACAAAGATTTAATGAATACTTACTATGTACAATGCATCAGACCTTGTCCTAGGAATACAAAGTAAATGAGATGCCCATCTAACTGGGGAGTTGTGTAGACAAACGTGATGAGAGCACCACAGGGGAAAGAATTCACATGGGGCAATGCAGTACAGTTTCATAGAAGTGGCGTTTGAAGCTGGATCTTGGAGGATTAGTAGGCTCTCAATAGATAGGCACAGAGGCAAAGGGTATTCTAGAGGAAGAAATCTGAAGAGCAAAGGCAGAGAAAAGTGAGTGGCATGTTCAGGAAAGGTGAGTGTCAACTGAAGTGTAGGATGTGTGCAGAACTGTGGGGAGGGGCAGAAATGACAGGCAGTCTAGGGTGAGCCAACGGAGCTAGGCTTAGGATGGATGTGCATCCCGTGAGCCGCTGCAGGTTTTGAGCAGTGGAAGGACATGGTCATATACTTCAGAAAGATCACTTAGTAGCATTCTAAAGAACAGGTTGGAATGGGAAAGTTGGAAAATCATTTAGAAGGGAATTGCAATAGTCCAAACAAGATACGAGAAGGATCTGGACTTTCATATCTGTGAGGATGGAGAGGAGGAGAATTTAAGTCACTTTTCAGAAATGACAAGCATTAATGTCTTTTTGGGAGGAGCAGGGGGAGGTCAGTGGGAAGGAAAAAGCAAGATTCAGGGATGATTTCCAAAGATTTTGATTTGGATGACTGAAGACATGGGAGGCGGAGCAGATGTAGCATGGAAGATAAATTCACTGCCAAGCATCCTGGATTTGAGGGGGCAGAAGAGAGCCTGCTCCCGGGGTTGGCGGGCAGTGCTGATATCCTGTCTCCCAGAGGCTCATTTGCTGCTGCAGCCTTCAAATTAACATCAGTGCATCTGAGAAGGGCTCCTGGCTAGTGACTAATTCCCAAGGAAGCTCTCATCAGTCCTCAGGTAATCAGGAGTTGAGGAGTTGGTTGTAATATTTCATGTGGCTTCCTACCTCCAGAACGTAACTGAGGCTCATTTCTCGGGTAAAGATCTAAGGAATGATCTTGACAAAGCGTAGCACAGATCCTGTAATGAAAGGGAAATGAAGATGGTTGCCAGCCCATTATTAAGCATAATAAGTAGGTTGAAATGAGATGAAAGACTTCATTTAGGCAGAACTTTCCCATTGACGAATGGTAGGGGGTAAAAGTGTGAAAAGAAAGCGTATAATCCAATTCATAAAAAGCATAGAAATGCTTTTTAAAACCTGGAGCGATAATCACTCATTGTATTTATAGAGCTGGGGTGGGGGATATTTTCTCTATTGATGGATACTGATGCTCAGATGAAATTTTTAAAATAAAATTTTTTTCTACTGACAGAACTTTATCTAAAAAACAATGAAACAGCTCTGTCCATATTTCTAGGCTGGGAGCAAGGAGGCATGGGTCCAGCAGTAAGGGCACAGGCCATTTACTTCTTGGAGGGTTTGACTTCTTGTGCCCGGGGCTGCCCACTTGAGGCAGATAGTGTTCACCATGATGGGTATAAATGCAAAGAAACTTGTCCTTAGGTATGTGTTTGGGGGAGAGCTGAGAAAGAAATAGAAAGCATTTAACTGCCACATTAAAATATTAAGAATAAGGAGAATAACATCGTGTTCAATAATTATAATACATAAATACAAAAGTTAAGATAAACACACAACTCCATTCCTAGATTATGATTTTAGGAATTGGGTGATCATCCCTAGATATTTAATTTTAAATCAATATGAGTCAGATAAAATTGATCCAAGTTTTAGATCTGATCTTCAGAGGTTAAATAAGTACACAGATTATTAAGAATTCATTACTCTGTAAATACTGTGTGTAATTCATAGATAAATAATTGGCAAACATTATTTGATGGCTATTATTCCCACAATGGTTATTATTTGGAGATAGGTTATCATTCAGCTGGAAAGGTCTGCTCTACTGGACAGACCTGTGCTCTTTGGAATACATATGACAATTTGGATAGCATCAAGCAAACTTTAATATTTTAATGGCTCATGAGCTGGGATGAGGAGTATAGGAGGCAATATATAGAACACACAGTGATTAAGAACATAAGTTCTGGAGTCCAACTCACCTGTGTTGGGATCCACACTCTACCACCACAACTTGTGTGACCTTGAGCAAGTCATTTAACTCTGAGGTTTTTTTTTTTTTTTCTTCTTCTCAGAAAAGGGGAATGATAAGAGTCCCTACCTCCCAGAGTTAACAGGTAATGAAATGAGAAAAAATACATGCAAAGCACCTATCACAGCACCCAGCTATTCTGTACCAAGGGCTCAATGAACGCCAGTAGCTGCTGTTGCACCTTTCTGTGCTGGGTCATCCACCTGCTGTGTGTGTAACCTGATTACCCAGTTTGAGCAAGAACTCAGCTGCATGCTCAACTTTTGGCTCCCTCTGTCACCCACAGTGGTGCATCCCCAGTTGTGCTGTGATCCCTCCCCAGCAACCAGTGGTTGGCAGATTGCAATTTTTTGGTTTAGAGGTTAGGTGGGGAAAGGTGAGTGCTACACAAAAAACTTGGACAGCTCCCCCTCTAGTGGTGATTTGATGAATTGCCCCCAACAATTGCCCTGTTGATCACAAATCGGAGAGCTGGCTGTAAAAATAGTTACAACAGATGGTTTAACAAATGAATTTATGAATCACAAACACATAATAAACTAGTACCAGATATACATCTGAGGCAGAGGACTTAAGTTGTAATGAATATCATCAAGATATCTGGAGCTTGCATATTTTCTGCTGTGCTAATTAGCCATTTTACCTAAACAGATTTCTAATTTGGGATAAAAATCCAGAACTGGCAATTCTAACCATAGCTATATATCCTACCCCCCAATAAAAAATTGTAATGTATATAGCCACTAGAGTCTGTAATTTTACTGTACACAATATTTTTTTCTAAAGTAATATAATTACTGTTGATAACAACATCTTATCCTCTTTTAGGGATTTATAAACTTTTCTCAGAGCTTTGTTTTCACAGCAGGTAGGTGTAGCAGGTTTTCCTCTCCTGGTTGAGGAGAAAGCCAAGGCTTATCTATAAAGAGGCTAAATAGGTTTTCTTTTGTCACCCAGGGAACTTCCCATGTGATTGTATTAGAGTTTAGTCCTATGAGTCTCCTCTTGGCAAAATAAATTGCATGGATACTGGTATGTCCCTTTACGTGCTCATACACTTTTTTTTTCCTGTTTGAATCTTCATATCAGACTCCCTAAGAACACACTTGTTTGGCAGATGGAATGAAAATGATTAAAATAGAGACCTGGGTTTTTTTAAAAAAAAAGTTTTTAAAGTTTTATTTTTATTTTTATTTTAGAGAAAGAGAGAGCATGTGCTTGGGGGAGGGACAGAGAGAGGTAGAGAAGCAGACTCCCCGCTGAGCTGGGAGGCAGACATGGGGCTCTATCCCAGGATCCTGAGATCATGACCTGAGCAGAAACCAAGAGTCAGAGGCTTAACCCACTGAACAACCCAGGTGCCCAGAGACCTGGGTTTTAAAGAATGACTTTTTTTGCTCCATTATAATTGCTTTGGATAGTTCAGATATTAAAGCATTTCTGCCAAAGACTAAACCTAGAGTAATAACTTTGTGAGCCTTACAGAAATGTAAATCCAGAGAATAGAGATGAAAATCTAAAGAAATGCAGTTGTTGTTGTTTTTTAATACTTGAATTGCTATTCATAAGACTTAGGAGTGAACAGAGAATGGATAATTTAGAAATAGGAGGTATTTTCTGATGGAATGACAAGAATATTTATAACCATATTGAGTTACTGTGAAGCAGAGAACAAGCAGCATTCACTTACACTTTTAATGAGCTTGTGCTATAGCAAGCTTCACTTCAACTGTAGAATTTCACTGTTTTGGGGTGGGAAAGTGTTTTCCTTCTTGTAGTGTCTATTTACACTTGTGGCTGGTCAGTGAAACCCAGTTCTCCAATCACCTGTGGGAGAAGCTGGACTGTCCAGAAACCTCTTTTCTCAGGAGCTCTTTGGGCGCTGGAGTTGTAAACAGAATGGGGCTGGATCACTCTGGATTACAGGCCTGTGCTGATGAGATCAAGCTTGCAGGTTGGCTTCCTCTGTGGGCTACTCAATTCCACTATGTCCCCAACCTGGCTATAGTCTGCACCTTTGTCAGCTGCATCACAGATCCCTATTTGCCAAATATGTATAGTGTCAACGTGTGAGGGGCCCTGAAAGTGTGGCATATCATTGCCAGCTCCTTCTCATGAGAGAAATGTGACTTGCACTGGTGACTTCTGGTGGCACCATCTTTAATTCCTGCAATGACCTTGGCTAATCGAATTGTATGTGACCTTTCTCCTCCTCCTGCCTTTTTGTGACCCTCTTACACCTTTCAGTGCTTCTCTCTTAACCTCACCGTTTCGGTCCCTTCCTGCTGCCTAGCCACCTGATTTTCCAGGTCTCTTACGGCAGTACATCCTTCTTAGTTGCTTCACTACTCCCAAATTTAAAAAATGAATGTACTATATCATATTCTTTTTTTCTTTTATTTTTTATTATGTTAATCACCATACATTACATCATTAGTTTTTGATGTAGTGTTCCATGATTCATTGTTTGTGCATAACACCCAGTGGTCCATGCAGAATGTGCCCTCCTTAATACCCATCACCAGGCTAACCCATCCCCCTCCCCCCTCCCCTCTAGAACTCTCAGTTTGTTTTTCAGAGTCCATAGACTCTCATGGTTCATACTATATCATATTCTATCCCCTCTTGCTCTACTACTCTTTGTTTGTTTACCTAGGAATAGAAATCCAAAAGAAATAAGTCATACCATCATGTTGGAATCTAGTAGTGGTCCAATACTCTCTAGTTATAAGACTACAATGCCTCAACTAATGAGAATGGATTTCTACTGATGAAAGTTCGGTGTGGGAAAATATTTGGTGGCACATGGGCCTTCACGGATCCCTGATATCATACCCTTTGTCTACTTTTGGGGAAGATTCCCTCAGGTTTCTTGAAATACCTTATATTGTAAACTTGTGAATACTAAAGGAAAAGAATAAAGGGGATAGCATTGGGAAATTGTTTTCCCCATTACTGCAGATCTATTTTCTGCCTAATGACTACCTTATAACTAAATAATTCCTCTCTGCTAGCTAAACAAAAGAACAGAGGAAAAGGAACTATGACTCTATTAAATCAAATACATGTTGCTCAAATAGTACTTAAAAGGAAATGAATTCTCAGTATACTCTCAAGGTCTGTATGATAAAGCTAATTGTAAAGGCAATTAAATGTCTTCAGCTGCCTTTGAGCATGATCGGTGTGTCTCAGGAGCAGATATTTTGATTATCTTCAGTACCAACCATGTCCTGTCACTAATAGGCCAAACCAGCCTGTTAACATTGTAAAAGGGAGATTATACAACAGATCGTTTAAAGGAGGAAACTAAAGGGATTTAGGGAACAAATGGAAAAAACATTCCAAAAGCTTTTTTTTTTCTATCAAGTAGGTAATTATAGAGGTTGAAGTTACTTCACTAAGCCAAATTTGTTAATTCAAAAACACTTGCTGTGCATCTTAGGGTTAGGGGAAAAAAACTGGACTATTAAAGAGTCTTTTTAAATTATCCCCAGGTTTTTGTTGTTGATGCATGGGGACAGTGTCACAGACAATCCATAAAGAGGAATAATATAAAATTCATTTAAAGATGATAAAACAATAAATACTAAAATTAATCCAGAAATGGATTGCCATAATTTACCATGACCCAGAAGGTTTAACTAATGCAGATCTCTCCTCTCTATTATTGACAGTTATGAGAGTGACACATGACAGGTAAACGACCGATACCAGGGAGTGAATAAAAAAGCCCCCAAGAGATAGCTAGTCATAAGTACTTAGTCTAATCCCATTGTACCTTCTTGGCTTCAACAGTGCATAATGGTCATCAAAATCCATAGTGGTGAATCCGGTGCCTTCTGAATCCTCAAAGAAAGTTCAAATGCCCTTCACTATAAATTTAGAATGAGTTATTTATTTGATTATTAATTTATTTCCAATGAATATTTCACATACATAAGAGGATTTGAGGCAGCTTATAATAAAAGCCCATATGTAGCAGGGCAGTAAAAAATGGAAGTCAGAAAGAGAGATCAGAAACTACAGAATTCAAAAACTTTCTTGGGCTGTAGACCCCTTTGAAGATCTATTAAAGAGCTGTGGAATATCTCCCCAGAAAAGTATAACTATGCAAATAGGCACAACAACCTTGAAGTCTATCCAGGCACCCTCCCCCTGGGTGTCCTTGAATCCCAGGTCAAGAACCCTTGTATAAAGAAAGCAAAATCTTGAGGTAAGGTAGTTATTGCATTTGGGGTTGCCTGGGTGGTACAGTCAGTTAAGTGTCCCACTCTTGGTTCTGACTCAGGTCCTGATCTCAGGGTTATGAGATCAGCCTGGAGTTGCTCCACACTCAGCATGGAGTCTGCTTAAGAGTCTCTTCCTCTCCCTCCACCGCACTCTCTCTCTCTTTCTCTCTCTCTCTCTAAAATAGATAAATATTTTTTAAAAAAAGATAGTTATTGCATTTGAATATTGCATTTAGCCCTGAGCTTCTAGTCAACTGAGGTTAAAAGATAAACACATGGCTACAGAGTTCTCAACATCTAAAAAAGGAAGCAGATCAGTTTACAAAATTATAAGTGAAACATGTAATTTTAAAATGGCAGTGTTTATACAGTTTATGAAAGGATTATTTTATAAAGGGTAATCAAGTAATATAAAGGGATGTAACACAATTTGATGAAATTCTTTGAAATTAAGTAATTGGAGGTAAAATATCTTTGCTAATTGTGTTGATTAGCATATTAAATTAGCCAGTATCTCATTTCCAACCATTCTGGAAAAGAGGGAATTTACTGCATATGTTTTTCTTTAATGGTACACTTACCCACCTAATAGTATTTGGTTAAAGCTGACATTAATATAATATATTCCCATGAGCTAACACCAGCTGAACAGCAAGGGAGGCCTTAGGGTATAAAAAAAATCGAACTGTGATTAAATATCTGCTATTAATAGGTCATACCATGGAAAACTGGCATGTAGAGAATGGCAAATAATCACTTTAGGTGCCTACTGCTTCCAACTTTTCTCAAAGGCAAATAAATAACACAGTCGTTCCTGTCACAATTACAGGCAGAGGCAGTATAGGCTGGGGGTTAAGAACACAGTCTGTAGAGTCAGAGACTGGTTTTCTACCACTTACTAGCTGTGTGACCTTGGGCAAAGTCACTGAACTTCTCTGAGTCTCCGTTTTCTTGTCTGTTGAATAAGACTCATAAGTGAATCTCAGGGCTGCTCCTAGGTTGTACAAGGGTCCCCTGGAAGTATTTCCTTTGTGGGGCTCCTGTCCAAACAATTGGAGTCACCTAAAATCTACATGTCAGTGTCATCCTAGCAATCCAATCTCACACAACCCTGTGAAACCAATACCATATGACTGGCAGGAGTAATCCATTTGCCAGGCTACTCTGCTGGAATTGGGACCTAGTGGTGGGGCCCCAGGACAAGCACATAAGCACCAGGGCTGGAGCTCCTTGGAGGATCCAGTCAACTCCCCGCAGAAGGTTACTGTAGGGAACTGGAAATTCCCCTGAGGCACAGAGCTAGAATAGGGATTCTGACTGGCAGGCCCAAGGAGGATGCTGATCTATCTCAAAGGATCACTGGGAAGATTAAATGAGGTAATCTATGTAAAGCACTTGGCATGCAAATTCTGTGAAGCCTGGCTCACAGTAAGTCCTCAGTACATGTTGGCAATGATGGTTGCTCTTCATTAGTATTAGCAATGCTCACTGCATTTCATGCCCAATCTGGTTTTCTTTCAGTGGATGGCTGCATTGACTGGTCAGTGGATCTCAAGACATACATGGCTTTGGCAGGTGAACCAGTACGAGTGAAATGTGCCCTTTTCTACAGTTATATTCGCACCAACTATAGCATGGCCCAGAGCACTGGGCTCAGGCTTATGTGGTACAAAAACAAAGGTGATTTGGAAGAGCCCATCATCTTTTCAGAGGTCAGGATGAGCAAAGAAGAAGATTCAATATGGTTTCACTCAGCTGAGGCACAAGACAGTGGATTCTACACTTGTGTTTTGAGGTGAGTGCTGCATGAAAATGTTGCTCAATACCATAGCTGGTAGTCTTTTGATTGGACCTGGAGTGTATAGAGGTGTGGCTCACGTTATACGGTGGATATATTGAAAGGTTGCAATGCATGTAGAGCTTCAGTAAATTCAATTCTGATTATTTGTTGGAACTAGACAGTAAATTCTTATCAAATTTCAGAAAATGGGACTTTTTTTTTTTTAAAGGTTTTATTTATTTCACAGAGAGACACAGCGAGAGCAGGAACACAAGCAGGGGGAGTGGGAGAGGGAGAAGCAGGCCTCCCGCGGAGCAGGGAGCCCGATGCGGGGCTTGATCCCAGGACCCTGGGACCACGACCTGAGCCGAAGGCAGACGCTTAATGACTGAGCCACCCAGGCATCCCCAGAAAATGGGACTTTCGTTTACTGTGTATGCTCATATAATTTAGAAAAGTTTGTGATTCATTTCTTCCTCAACTCACCCCTACCTTAGGGTCTTATATTAACAATTGTATTTTAATAGAGCCAGTTGGCTCAATGATCTTAATATCTGACCATAAAAATGGCCTAAAGTATCATTTAGGCCAAGGTCTCTCTTTTTTTGTTGATGGAAAATAGCTTCAGATGCTACTGGGAGATCTCTTAGCAAATGAGCTACTGTTGAAAGTTTTCACATAATTTGCAATATGAGCTTGAGTCCACCGTATCTAAATATTCAACATGGAACCCTGTAAACACATGGTCATCCTGAGTTCCTAGGTCCTTTACAGGGAACATATCACAGATATAATTCATTCTTGCAAGGAGTTTACTGTGAAAAGCAATCTGTTTTATACTTTGGGATTCTACAATATGTCCTTCCTTCCCCTCTGCCCTGGTGCTAGAATCTAGGATCTAGAATCTCAGATAGAGACTGCATTAGGTATTGAAGTAGATAACTGAGATGACCTTTAAACCACTTTTCATTTCTGCCATTTTGGGAGTCTCTGATCTTGCTCACCAGGGACTTACACTCTATTATTTGATTTTAACTTCTTGGAAATGCAGACCCTTCCTATTTTTGTCTCCTGTGGACTTTGATGCCAAAGCTATGTGTCACCTCTTCATCAAAAGCACTTCGAAACCCCTGGTGAGGCCTCATTGTTCAAAAGGCCAGGAGAACAAGGTGGTGTATAAATAATCTTCCTGATGCTCTAGGCATCACTTTTGTACTTGTGTGTTTTGAGGGGGGAGTGTTGGGGAAGCAAGTGGTGAGTTTAGTTTCTGTTTGTGGTGGGCAAAAACGCCAGGATATTGGCAGAAATTCTCATCACATCCTTAGTGATAATCAATATTTTCACCTACTTGGGTATCTCTTGGCAAAATTGAGAAAAGGATGGTAATTCGGCTTCAGTGACTGACACTATATTCTTTAGGGTGCTGCTACTCTTTTCCTGCTTACCTCCACTCTGCCCCCCACCCTCATTAAATCTGGTAATCTAAAATAGATCCCTTTTCCTCCTTCTGATTCATTTGCTTTTTTGTTTTTTTGTTTTCATAGATTTAAAATTTTATTTGCAAAGCATCAATTCACTATATAGATGTTCTGTACTGATAATGAATTATCAATTTAATTATTGCTTATTTTCCTTGCCCTGCTTATATCCCCATACTTGCTACCCCTCTCCTCTTTTCTCTCCTCTAACCCCATTCTCCTACTCTGAGCAATGTTAATAATCTAGTGTGTATCCCTGCATGCCTTCTCCCTATTCTTTGAAATATATATATACATGGGGATTTTCTCCTCATTGTTTTGCAAAATAAAAGAAGAGTTACATATTTCTCTGCATTTTCTTTTCTTAGAAAAATACATAGTGGGAATCTTTCCAAGTCAACTGATAGAGAGTTCACTCAACCTTTTAAGTATATAATATTCTGTGTTGCTTAGTAGTGTATGATACCACAATTTGGTCAGTTATTTTCCTATTTATTTGCATGTATTTTGTTTCCAGTTTTTTGTCCCTATAAAATGTGCTGTAATAAAAGAGCCCTCCATTTGCTTTTAAATAAACTTATAAATTTTAGAACAGTTTTAGATTTATAGAATTATTGCAAAGAGAGTACAGTAAGTTCCTGTATGCCCTATACCCATTTCCCCTTTTATCAACATCTTACATGATTATGGAACATCCATTACAATTAATGAACCAATAGTGGTACATTATTATTAACTAAAGTCTATACTTATTCAGAGTTCCTCAGATTTTCCTTAATGTCTTTTTGCTATTCTAGGATCCCATTTGGGATAACACATTACATTTAGTTGTTAGGTCTCCTTAAGTTCCTTTTGGCTGTGGGAGTTTTTCAGACTTTCCTTATTTCTTAAGACCTTGACAGTTTGAATAGTACTGTTCAGATATTTTGTAGAATGTCCCTCAGTTGTGATTTATCTGATATTTATTTCATGGTTAGATGGGGATAATATGTTTTTTGGGGGAAGACAACAGATGTAAAATATTCTCCTTATATCATATCAAGGATACAGAGTTTCAGTATGCCTTATCACTTTTGATATTGACCTTGATCACCTGGCTTGAGGTAATATTTTTCTTTCTCAACAGTAAAGTTACTTTTTTCCCCTCTTTTTTTCGTACTCTTCTCTTTGGAAGAAACTAGTTATTCACAGGCCATATTAAGGAGTGGGGAGTTATGCCCCACCTCATCAAGGGCAGAGTAGTTACATAAAATGGCTTATAATTCTTCTGCATAGAATATTTGTCTCTTTACTCCTATTTATTTAATCAGTATGGACTCACGGATATTTATATTATACATTAGGTAATAATCCAATGCTACTTTATTTTCTAGCTCAAATTCTTCTACCTCTGTCCATCGGGAGTTCTTTCGGTTGGCGTATCTGTTCCTTTGACATAACCTCATTGTTGTGTGTGTGTGTGTATCTGTATGTGTGTATGTGTGTATTTTGAGCATTTCTTTATATTTCAGCACTATAAGATGCTCCAGGCTTATCTTATATATTTCCTGCCTCAGTCCTAGTCCTGGCCCAGCCACTTTTCCAAGGAGCCCTCATTCCTTTTATGGAGAATGGCATTAGAAACCAAGATTTCCATGCTAAGTATGCTCATTGCTACTGGGGTGTGATTGCTTTTAGGCCTTCTCAGTTGACAGCCTATTTGCTTTTATTTTTTAATTTTTAAATTTTTTTAAAGATTTTATTTATTTATTTGACAGAGAGAGACACAGCGAGAGAGGGAACACAAGCAGGGGGAGTGGGAGAGGGAGAAGCAGGCTTCCCGTGGAGCAGGGAGCCTGATGTGGAACTCGATCCCAGAACCCTGGGATCATGACCTGAGCTGAAGGCAGATGCTTAACGACTGGGCCACCCAGGTGCCCCGCCAATTTCTTTTAAACAAAGCCTTGCAGTATTTCATGCACAAGTGGGATTTCTCAGGGCCCCTGAAATCCTTCCCTGCAGGTGGCCCTCTCTTTCAAGTACACATCAGATTAAATTTGTATCTATTGTAGATATCATCTAAGTCAGTGGTTCTTAACTCACATGTAGATCAGTAGAAGAGAAAAGGATGATATCACACTGAGCAGAGGCTTAGATTCATGTAGTAGATCTTTTATTCATGCAGTAGATCTTAGGGAGTGACTGGGATTGATGGGGTGGGTGAAACTTGAATATCATACCTCATGTGTGCCTTGGTAAGAAAAAAAAAAGTTTGGGAAGCACTGTTCTAAAGGAAGCAACAGTTGTTTTGTCAAATCAGAGATAGAGATAATCTCTTTCAGAATGATACAAGTCATGTAGCTGGCATTTGGCTGTGTATGTTTTTCAGATATAGTACTAGCCACTGACTCCAAATATGTGCCAAGTGAGAAATTCAGTCCATATAGGTGATTTTATGCCATTATCAAGAGAGTGACATTTATAGTGAAAAAGGCTCTGAATTTGACAATATCTGTATCCACCTAAAATCCCCAATTAGATACCGCTTTAAGGTAATTATAGATGATTTTTTTCTATGCATTATTGACCTCATTAAAAATTAGTCTGTTAATTTCAGTGTGTTTCAAAATGCAGATATGAAATATTTAGTAATATTATTCACCCATTTGAATCATAGCAAGAGAAATTTACTGTTTGTGATCTTTCTGTAGCCAATCACTTATTTTTATGTTTTTTCTTTGGCCAGTCTCAAGAGTGGTTAGTTGAATTTCTCAGCATGTTAGTGAAGGGTTATAGTAATAGAGAAATGATGGAGAAGTGAGTCATATTTTGAGAGGCAGTGCCAGTCCAAGAATTACTGTCTCCCTTGCTTCCCACCTGAATCTTTTCAGTGGAGGCACTTAGTAGGATAAAAATGACAAGACTAATCTTATTTGACAAAATCCCACATATCACTTTGCCAACAACTTGGAACAAGGGATGATTTAAGCTGTGGATGAAGACAGATATATTTATATAATCCTGAATTTAATTCATAGGTAATGAAAAGAATGACTAAGTATTATCAAACATCTGTAGAAACCTGAGCGTTTGGGTATCACAATGGCCAAGTGAAGTGAACCAGTTAATAGCTTCAAAAACCATTATGACCATTTATCTCTCCAACAAAGTAAACAGAACAAGGAGCCCCCTTCTTAAATGGGAACATAGCCCAACTATTTTTGGTCTTTAGTAATCACTGAAATAAATGAGGTTCTCAAAATCTGAATGTCTCATAAACTCTTTCTAAAGCATTCCTTAGTGCATTTATCCAGCCCTGAGGCATGGCACTTGCCTTGTTATTCATCACATTTTAGTGATTATTACTCCAACAAAACAACATCATCAGAAAATTTGAGGCAGTACAGGTATTTGAAAGAAGAAATGTAGCATGTTGCTAATTATTGAATCTGTACAACTAGTATGTGAGGGTTCATTATATTGCTATTTTTATTTTTGAGTATGTTTGAAATGTTCCACAATGAAAAAGAAAATAAATAAATATAAGTGCACAGTAAC